TCATACAAGCAACATCCTAATGCTCTCGCCCGCTTCCAGTGGGGAAACTTGGCCACACACACACACACACAGTGCAAGCATGAAACAACATAATCACACACAATCCTCCTTAGCAGGCCTGAACACACACACACACACGCACACATGCAGACGTTAAACAATTTCTCAGCGACTGAGCTGCAGATCGTTTCCTTTTTCATGTCACTGGGAAAAAAAACCCATATGTACAAGTTTTTGATTGCTGGTCAAACAAAAGACAGTCAACAGTTTCATTTTGAAATTGAAGCTGAGGCAAATTTAGAGCTTGGCATTAGTGTTGATTGTACAGCACTTAAATGCAAATAAATGGGAATGCTAAGAATTATCGTCAAAAGCATGGCAACAGTGAAATTTCTGTTTTAACTCATAACTCCGCTAACAAACGCTACTTATTCACAGCAGAAAAAAATGAGATACATAAATCTTTTGTGTCTCTTGCTTTGCTTTAAAAAGCCATAAAAAGACTATAAAGTTATCACCTCAAGCTAGACAACATGTGACTCAAATTTTTTTTCTTCTTCTTTTTTTTTAACATTTTACAAACCAAACCAGTAAAAAATAAATAGATAAAAAAAACGTAGCAACCCTGCAATAGCCACAGTCAAATTTGGAGCTCTTTAGCAATAGAAGTTGTTTTTGCTCTCGCTCCCAGTTTGTGTCCATCTCCCTGAGGCCACAGGCAGCTAAGTGATGCTGTGCCACACGCCCAGCCACTCAACATCCTTTGTGTCCATCCCCTGGCAGCCTTCCAAGCTCACACAGACACCCATACACACATACAAATTCACTCTTGCGCCAAATGAGCCATTGTTCATTAACACGCACGCACACCTCAACCGCCTCAGACAAAAATAAATAGATAAATAGATAAAAATAAAATAAAAATAAGAAGTGCTGCTACTTACTTTCCATTTGCCAAAGGTGTCCTACTAATCAAGATATTCAAACTGAGTGGCGGATTGGGGGTTTGTGGGGGGGGTTGCAGACGGTCACTATTTGGCCAAGCCTCGCTGTTAGCAAAATCAGATCATCCAGTCAGGGCCGCAAAGGGAGAGCAGCAGCAAGGCATCACAGTCAGCTCCTGTCTTGCTCTTTAGCTGCTGTTTTCTTTGGGCCAGTGCTTTTTCTTTTTCTTTAAAAAACAACAAAAAAAAAAGAGGCTCTCGTCGGGGTCCTCCGTTGTCAAACCAAATGAGCGGCAGCCCCTTCGCACACTTTAACAAGACTTCCATGGCAATAACCTAATTAGAAATGGTGCCTTCTCATTTCAAGGCACAATGTAAAGGATAAGCTGTGAGCTGCCATGTCTATTAAAGGTCTAATGGTGTGGAATATTTTTCCTTTTTTTAATAAGTCCTTAGCATATTTAACACTTCCAAACGCAGAATGCTTTAATATCTGCCAGAGAATCCGGGCCACGGGTGGTGGAGATTGCTGGTGAAGAGTAAAGGGAGGTGAACGGAGGTCTGTTTAAAATTCAGAAATAGGGGGATAGCGAAAGAAGGTAGGAGGGAGGAAAAAGTATAAAATAACTGTCGCTTTGATTTGATTAAAACCTATGAAAAACGATGCATTACATAAAATGAGAAACTTCAAACATTTTGTGGGGATTCAGAGTTCAAAGAAATGGAGATAATGCTTTTTAATCCTGGAATTAACATGGAAATGAATTTGACAGGATGTCTTTTAGAGGATGGTGTGCGTGCGTGTGTGTGTGTGTGTTGAGAGGGGGGTAATAAATCTGTAAATTTGGCTACATTGGTCATAGATCAGTTTCTGCTGCATTTATTGCAATTCTTTCCTCATTTGTGTCAAACTTAAATTCATGACTTCACATCTTTTAACGTCTAACTTTTTCTTACATGTTTTTTCCCGTTTTATAATAGCACCAAAACCTGATGAACCACGTCTGGCAGTGTAAAAGCACAATCTTAGCACTGAGCATCACAGGTTACAGCAAGATCTTTGGTAGTAAGCTGTAGGTATTACTCCTCCACTGAGTCAGTCTTATGTGGCTATCCCTTCACTTAAGAACACCCATCAGATTTTGACTGGATAATAACTAGTCAGCACTGAGAAGGAGAGATGCCAGGAAAAGTGAGTAGGAATCAGAAGAGTGTGTAAAAAAGGTTGAGTCGCAACACAGGGAAAAGAGGAAAAAAAATAAAATTTATCAAGCGGCAACTGTCAGTCACAAAAAACAAACCCCCCATGTGAAACTATGAAAAAAAAAAAAGATGCAGCCAGTGTAGCAGGGAAAAGAGGGGAGGAGGGGGAAACATAGAAAGAGGAAGAGGAGGATAGAGTGGATCACAGTGTCAAGGATTTTAAGGAATTGGCGTCCACTCATCTACGGAGAAACACGGGCAGCGGCCCTACCGACAGCTACCTGCCGTCTCTGAGAAGAGGAACTTGGATCAGCGAGGAGGGGGCTGTCAGCTAGCACGCAGGGAAACACACAAAGACTACACAGCCTCGCTACAGTTAGCTGACACACAGCCCCAGCACTGTCTTCTGGGACAGAGAGAGAGAAGAACGAGGGAGAGAGAGGAAGAGAGAGGGAGGAAATAAGTGGACAAAGAGTGAAATAGATGAGAGAGCAAAGAGACAAGACAGGCTGACGCACTGTCGAGCAAACGCGGAGAAAAGAAGGGGAGCAGGGAGGGGAGGTGGAGAGATGGAAGAGAGCGAAACAGACAGACAGGTCCGAGAGGGATTTGTTCTATTTGCATGCGCCAGGCTCCCATGGGGTCCAGCTCCGCTCAGCAAGCCAAGAGCACAAAAGATAACACTTAACATATTTGCTAAAAGATGACAACCCTGCCTGGATCTCATTTGAAGAGGCCCCTTTGTCAGGATGCTCAGACAGGAGAAATCCACTGATATGGACGTGGCAAGGACTAACAAATGTCTCTCTTTCTTTCCTTCCTTCTCCCTCTGTCTGAAAAGCCCGGTATTCCCCCCCCAACATGCACATCCCCTTACATCTGGCAGGAGTCCCGCGGGGCAGACTAGATCGCACGCCGGTGGTTGCAGGATGGTAAAACAGCTTTTAATGGTAAACATTACATACTGATAGAAAGTGTCAGGATAATTTATTTATACGGCCCCGCTGGGAGTAGCTTAGCCACCCTCGCAGCACACCGACTCTCTCTGTTCATTTGAAGGAAAAGTCCACATTTAGATAGATAAAGTCAGAGTAAAGGGCTGCCTGTTTGTAAAGCACTTTTTCTGCTATTCCTATTATTTCTCCACACTCTGTCCCTATTAGCTTTACTGTGAGGCCGTTGGAGATGTGAGGCGATACTTTATGTGTATAATGAGGGGGATTATTGCGACTGTCATTGCAACAAGCTCACACAGTGGACGCAGATCTTACGGTGAGGACTGGAGCAAAGGAATAAACAAACCGCTCAGTATCTACATTATTTACAGTAGGCCACACACACACACACACACACACACACACACACACACACACACACACACAAATCAACAGCACGTGTGGCTGTTCCTGCGTTTCCTTCTTGTGCACACACTCTTGCCTTTGGAAAAACTCATGCTACCCATCTCAAACGTCAGAGCCCGCATTTCACACGAGTCTCAAAAACAGCAACAAAGCAAGAACACAAGTGTACGCGAGCGCCCAATAAAAAGAACAGAAAAATCACATCTGCAAATCAGACCCGCACGTCCAAATAAAATCAGTATGGACTAATTTAGGGGGAAAAAGCTGCAGAAACTGTTCAGTTTTAACTGTTCGCTGCTACTTACATGTGCATACCTGCATGCTAATTTGGAACAATGAAACCAGTATCAGGATAACTTCTACATTTTCACCAAAGTGTTAGAACATCAGCACGCGCACGTATAAAGAGAAATAAAGGTGAGACACACACACAGGAGAGAGGAGGTGAGGTGAAGCGAACGACTGCGTGTGTGAGCTCAGAGATCAGAGACGAAAGGTTGAGTTCTCACTAACAGCCACTGGAAAAAAACAAGACTGTGCAGTTACAGAACTTGGCTGTCATCCATCCTAAAACTCTCGCCTTCAACGTGAACCTTCTTATTGTGCATCGGCACAACAGCAACACACATGCAGGGCTGTTTTGTTTGCGTGTTTATGTGGCTGAAATTTCAAAACTGAATTTAATTTTGGAGCAAGGTGCTCTCATTGTGTCATCAGCGTTCTTCTATCACGCAGGAAATCCCTCACCTGATTAGAAAAATAATAACTAGCACTGAATGTTTCTTTAGTACAATAACGGAAAAAAGATATGGTGCAACTAAGGGGAAAAAAAATCATAAATATGTATTTTTCACTTTGTAAAAATGTGACAGAGGTCTCGTGCACAGTGACTCCAGTCACATCCATTTGTTTCATTAAGTGATCAGTGAATTTCTGAGCACATTATTCTGTCTCAATGATATTTTGAAATGTCAAGGAAAAAAATAATTAGCCTACTCAAACTGCTGTATTTAATCTGCAGCTCTGAGGGTTTTCAAGAACAATATTCCATTACAAATATGTCATTTATTTAATATCTTGAAAAAAAATCGAATTAGAGCTGCAAAATTAAGCCATGTGTAATTTAGATGTTGCAGGCTTAGTCACCAAATATTAATTACCAGGTAGTGTGTGTGCTACACAAGGCTGTGTTTGTGTTACAGAAAAAAAATAGTTTTTAAAAAATTAAGAGAAGGAAATTAATCCAAACAACACAGCTACAATTTGGACATCCATCTCAAACATGAAGAATTCACTTTTTGAGTCAACACTGAAAACAATCTGAGGTCATCAGCTCCCCCCTACCCCCAACCCCAGCTGCCCAATGTTATTTTAATAGTTTTACATACATACATAAATACACACACACACACACACACACACACACACACACACACACATACATTTAAGTGAAAAAGTACATAAGTTGATGGAGAAAAAAACATCAACCTACCATAGACGCTGCTGCTGCTGATCATGTCGTGCTGGAACAGAAAGAAGAAGAGAGAGAGGAAGAGGAGGAGAGAGCATTGGAATTAATTTGTGGAAGAAAAGGCGGAAGGAAGGATTCCCTCTCAAAGAAAAAAAAAGCTTTACAATAGGAGACACTTTCTGGGTGCAACACTGCTCGGATTTCAAGCCGTGTGAGAGGTGGGCCCTGTGAGTCTTTGGAGCAAGCAACTCAATAGGAGAGCCATCTAACCTACATGCATCTCATTAGAAAGTGGAGCCCGAGATGACAGGCAGCAGTGGAGGAGGAGGAGGAGGAAGAGGAGGACGATATCGGAGAAAAATCAACTGGTGCGGATCTGTCATCCGAGTTAAATCCGCTCCTTACGACCACAAATGTCCAGTTTGTGAGATTCATTAATTAACACGTGCCGCGATATCACCGGATCCGCTGACTGCACGCGCAACTTGTTGTAACCGTACCCGCCTCATGGAAGCTAATGGGGAGAGGAAAAAAGCCTCCGCGTGTGTGTGTGTGAGTGTGTGTGTGCACCCAAGTTGTGGCTTTTTTCTGTTCGGAGTGCCGCACAGTCGACACACACAAACAGGAAGCCAACGGTGCAGCCTACGTGTCCGTGCCTGTGCGATCCACGCGCGGCGTGGCGCAGGTGCGCTTCACCGACAGATGAATAAATAACCCGTTACGCAGAGGGCATCGCTCGCAAATCGGGAAACTTGTCAGATCACAAACTGCACATGCACTATTCCGAGATGAGCGGCGGGCTGCTCCGAGCTCGTCTCCTCCACACAGACGCGCTGTCTGCTCTGACCGCTCGCTCTAATTGCAGATGCAGCGGATCCCCGTTCCTTACCTTTTTTTTCTCTCTCTCTCTCTGCTCTCCAGTGACAGGTCGACCTCTCACGTGTGTGCGTGTGTGTATGTGTGAGAAAGCGTGTGGGGGGGGAGTGTTATGGTCGCATCGATCCCTGGGAGGGGTCCTGCTGATGAGCGAGGTGCCGAGGTTAAGCCGGGATGCGTGTGAGCTGAAACCATCCCAAGTTAACGCAGTAGACACTGACCACAGCCACTGCCATGTTGGAATTTCACCAGCGCTGAACAGCTGCTTCTCAGACTGACCAGTACGCTCGCCAACACGCATGCGTCAAAAGGAGGAGGCGGCGGCGAAGCAGGGAGGTGGTGGTGGTGGGGGGTGGAAAAAAAATCCAATTGTTACCCATAAGGTTGTTGTGGGCACTTGATTTGTATGTTAAGTTTGGAAGTAGTGATGGGAGATGAGCCGAAAGAGGCAAACACAGAAAGAGTGAGGACGCCTTCGCTGAAGAAGAGGCGCCTTTTAACAAGTCACTTCCACTCAGCTGTATTAGGATATGAAAGGTCACACACAGACAGACACACTTTAAGCGTTTCTGACGCAAAAGAAACGCCTTTTAATCTTTGCACATCACCGACGAACTGATTTTCTAACACGGACACTGATTTAAGCACAGTGCTTGCGATCGCTTAAAAGTTCTCACTGATGATAAACTTTAGCGTTCACCTCTTAAACCGAGCAGAGAAGAAGAAGATGGAGAGAAAAAAACACGAGCGCACGCAGCAGTCGCAAATATCTCCCAGTGATAATTATAGCAGGCAGTATGGAATTAGCAATTGAAGCCCTAATTAGAATGAAAATGTCCCAGTTAGCGCGTTATCAAAGCGTCAGCGGGGAGACCAGGTTTAAACAAGACATCAAAGATGGAAGACCTGTCACTTCATTGTTCCTAATATCACCCCACTAAGTAGTTAGCGCGCGAGGGGGAGAGGAAAAAAATCATCGTTAATGTAGCCAAGTTTTAAGTGAGGTTATTAAAAAATGTGCTTGAAACAATAATAACTCGGGGTTAAATGTGCATCCATGCTGAGGTCACGCACACCTCCACCAGTGGCTTCCTTCCTTCCTCCTTTCTTCCCTTCCTTCCTTCCTGCTTCTTATGGCTCGGGCCTGCGCTGCAACTTTCGCTATCAATAATTATTATTATTTTACAATTCCACCACTTCATTAAAATTGTCAAGCCGGCAATGCAATCAAGGATTAATTAAAATTGATTGAAACCTTAGTTAATCACTATGTAATGGCTTCACGGAGGAGTGATCTTTTTGTTAGGAAGCGCTAATTATTAGTTACAGGGAAGAAGGCTTCCATGCATCAGGTTTGTAATGTTTAACTGGGGGAAAACAGGTCTCTGTCTTACATTACAGTGTGTAACTACATTACAGAGCATACCCCCCCCCCCTCTGATTTCCATACTGAAGGCAAAAGATATAATTCAAGTGTTTTGAATATTCAGTGTTGCTATAAAAGGCTCCCACACTGCTCACTGCTATGGAAAACCTTGTGTAAGGCTACTTTTGTGACGTGTAAAAGTGTGTGTGTGGGAAAGATTTAACAGCAACATAAATCTAAATAGATTTTAACTCATTAGCCATTGGAGAGGTAATGATGTAAGTCTGCCACTAATGAGCTTAAGCTCTTAATTGAATAGGAGGGGGGTGGAGAAACACAGTCGCACACACACAAATATGAACACCCACACAGTGCACAAAACACAATGCGCATACACACCTTCCAATGCAATCCTGTTTCCTGTGTTCCTCTTCTCTGTCTTTCTCTCTCCATCTCCAGGGTCATAAGAAGGGGGGGTTAGAGTCACATGACCAGCTAAATTTCAACCCCAGCGCCTGCAGACTTCAGTGTCGGCCCTCATCATTTCAACGCTACACTTTTTTGGTGAATTTTCCCCCTCCCTCCACCAGCCCCAAATTAATTAATTAAATAAATAAAACCCAAATAAATCTCTCGTGTTATTTATGAAATTACCGTGCTAAATGAAACACGAGGTCCTGTTCTTTAATGCGAGGCAAAAACAAAGCACCTAATCAAAGGAATCCCCGAACGTCACAATAATCAAGCTTCGGCTGCAAATGTATCATATTCCCACTTATAAGAGGCAGAACATGCAACAAAACCCGTTGCTTTGATGTCACCTCCCTGCATATCATATTTTTCTTCATCTTCTCCAAATAATTATCAGCACTTAACCTGCCTTGTCTGCCACGAAGTAAAAATGTCAGAATCTATTTGGATAAAGAGGAAGGCTTATAGAATAAAATGTTTTTTCTTTACATTATGAATAGGCCATATTCCCTTGGTAATACAGGCTGAAAATGAAAATGATGATATCCAATTTCTTAGTGTCTTCTATCAAATATACCCTGATGTAAACAAAGCCCATGTGAATGGGGTACAATTGTAGGGGAATCTCAAAGGCAGGAAATCCAAGGGGAGAAAACGGAAAGATTATAAAAGCCCAGACAGTGTTTCCAGTCTCTCAGATAAAGAATAATAATATAGGGAAATAGAAAAAGGGATGAGTTGTCTGTGCTTTGAGGCTAGAGTGTGGCCATTCCTCTTTTATAACCCAGACTAACGGCCTGATAGGACGCGGTGTAGATTTGAGCAGAGCCTATTGAACATAAGCTGCTAAATTTGGCAATAAGGGGAATGTGATTTACTGTAAGCTACAGTGGCCCAAGAGTGACGCAGCCACCTGCACACACACACACACACACACACACACACACACACACACACACACACACACACACACACACACACACACACACACACAC